TTGGGTCAGGATGCCAGGCTACGCCAAAAGTTGAATTGATGGTGATACATATTCTATATTATTTGTCATTGGGAAATCATCAATACATTACGAATATATATTAACTTGAACCTTGTGTGTTGTTGGTTTAACAGTGGTACTCATGTCACCAATTTTATTGAACCGATCGGGAAATGTTAAAATAGCATAAAAATTAGAGAATCTATATTTCAAAACCATTAAATAATTTTTAGCTTACAATAAAAAAATAAGGAGATGTGGTAGGATTGTCAAATAGACAACTTCTGTATCCATTAAAGAACAACGGGTAAAGAGTTGCATAAATTACAGGTCACCGTACAGATTCAACGATGAGCAAAATATATACCTTAATCTTGTCATTAATATTTAGATATGAGCAACAGTCTTACCAAAAAAAGATATTCTAGCTACAAAATGTATTTTACAAGGAAGTTAAAAGAGGGACGAAAGATACCAGAGGGACAGTCAAACATATAGATCGAAAACAAACTGACAACGCCATGGCCAAAAATAAAAAGACAAACAGACAAATAATAGTACAGATGACACAACATAGAAAACTAAAGACTAAGCAACACGAACCCCACCAAAAACTGGGTGTGATCTCAGGAGCTCCGGAAGGGTAAGCAGATCCTGCTCCACATGTGGAACCCGTCGTGTTGCTTATGTTATTACAAATCCGGTAAATAGTCTAATTCGGTAGGTTACATTCGTGAAAAGGGAAGGGTATTGTAGTTACGACATAAGGAACATATCCGATATCATCTGTGAAACGGTTATTCCATAACGGTCAACCAACTCGTGATGGCGTCCGTAAAATTTACGAAGGGATGATTTCAACTTCACCATTTGGAACTCTTGGTTTAATAGCTTCCTTGTGAGCAGCAATCCTCTATCAAGGAATTCATGATAGGAAATACAAGACCTGGAATATCGTATCAATTGTGAGATATATACTCCGTATGCAGGCGCTGCTGGAATGTTGCTACATAGAAATGGAAAGTTCACAATTGGGAAACTGAAATCATCTCTTTTGTCGTAAAGTTTTGTTTTCAACCGACCCTCATTGTCAATTTCTAGATGTAAGTCAAGATATGAGGCAGACTTAACTGTATCTGTAGTATTCTTTATCTCTAGTAATGTATGCAAAATATCTTTTTGGTAAAGCTTTTGCTCATATATATTTTGACCAAATAAAAACTATTCATTAAACGGGTATTTTAAGTCAAATACGTCAAAAACGACAAGTTTATGACGTCATAGTGACATCAAATGTCATTTTTCTGCACTAAAATGTCCAGACTATATAAGTTTGTTGTCTGCTCTTTAGTCGGGTTGTTGTCTCTTTGATATATTCCCCATTTCCATTCTCAATTTTACTGTTCATTTTTAATAAAATTAACATAAATCTTAAAATTTAAGGCTTGCATAAGTCCAATATTTCAGTAATTTCAGGGCCAAATAATCATGGCTCTTATTATACCTCGTCCTTTCACAAAATATACTGATTTGGCCATGGTTTCTTTCCAAGGTAACACACTAAATGGCAATTTCTTTAACCTTTTACCTTAACACATGTTAGGCAAATATGAGGTCGTGTATGATAATTTTTAAATTTGCACTAAATTTAGGAGAAATTATATAAGGGCCTGATTTGAGGGTTTGGATGGGGTCATTCATTTCTGTATTCTTTAATCTTTTGCCCATTATTCTTTATTCTTTATATTTCAGTGCTCCAATATTCTCTATTTTTTTTTTTTTTTGCTTATTTTTCTCTTTTCATTATATATTTTTGTTCTTTATTCTGCACCTTTCCCCCCATTATTCTCTAGTCTGTAAACCCCATGCGGACCCTCTTAATTTACTTTGATATATGATATGCTTTGTGTTTATATAGAAAAACAAAGAAAGAAACTATTATTTTGTATCCAAAAGAAAAATTGAAAAAAAATATCGGTCGAATATATTTTTTCTTCATTGTAACAAACAAAAGAATTCGGTATTCACTCCTCAAATCAAATTACTTTAAAAACAGCACACATCTTCGTAAAACTCTGAACGTGTGTCGGTACTTAAACACCCTTAGCTTTCAAATAGTTGGCTGATAAGGGTAAATTCAGAAAAGCATTTTGACGCATAACATTTACAAAGTTTTAATTTTTTTTTTTTATTTCGAATATTTGACAAAAGAACTTGTTTGTGCAATGAAATAGAATAGAAAAAACAAAGAATATGGGGTATCCATCCATGACACAAAATCAGTACATGCACAGCAAAAAACACACAAAAAGCATTTAGGGAACAGCGCTATTATTGCTGTTCTTTATCTCAAAGTCACAGTGAGGTCTTCAACACTTAAACTTAAAATACTTATAGTGCAATGAAAACATGAAATAAATTACTGTGTCATTTGTGTCCTGAGTCATTCTAACATCTAAATTGCAATAAAAGAGAGGCGAAAGATACCATAGGGACATTCAAACTCACAAGTCGAAAATTAACTGACACCACCATGGCTAAAAAAGAAAAAGATCAACAGACAAACAACAGTTCACAAAACACAACATAGAAAACTAACATGTGGCACCCGTCGTGTTGCTCATGTATGTAAAGACCCGGTGATAAGTCTTATTCGGTAGGTCACATTCCGGGAAAAGAGGACGGGATTGTAGTTTCGACAATGGGAACGTATTCGTTGTCATCTGTGAAACAGATATTCCATAACGGTCAATAAGTGAGGAAAGGGAGATCACTGTAAATCACGAAAATTAACTACATTTTTGAATTACAGAATTCAGCGCGCAAAACACTTTGAATATACAAAAGTAAGATGATGTCATTTGGCAATCCAAAACCATTATATGATGAAAAAAAAAAAAAACAAAAACAAAAACAAAAACCACCACTTACATTATGAGTATTTCACTAGTGACAGTATCAATAGTGGTTGGTTGTCAGTTCAATATCATTCATTCAACTAAAGGTTTAACCAAACGTTAAAATCAGCATAATGTATACAGCATTCCTGAATCCGCCACTGGAAATGAAATGATACATTTATTATGGAGAGAAAATTTAACGAAAGATTGTTTCGATTAGAGCATATTATTACATAAAATGCACAAAACAGAAAAAGCGACAATAAAGCCTAAAAGTAATGACAGTAAGCAGTTTCATGCCAACATTAAAACGAAAACAACACATTTATTAATGTTTCATCGTGTATTTCTGTACATTGATTGAATGATTTATGATTGATTGTTATGATTTAATGATTAAAGCATATGGTTGTTTGATATGAAATACTTATTTATTCGTTGATGGTTGCTCAAGGTTCAACGCAAGTGCATTTGCATACATATTCGAGACAAGCTAATATAAATGTGACATGAAGTTCTCTGCTTTGCATCTTTAGGTCTTGTATAATAAAACGAAACATGTTAGCTTACATCGAACAAGGTAAAGAGGCGAAGGATACCAATGGGACATCCAAACTCACAAGTCGAAAACAAACTGACAAAGCCATGGCTAAAAAAGAAAAAGACAAACAAAAAACAGACTGAGCAACACGAACCCCACCAAAAATTTGGGGTGGTCTCAGGTGCTCCGGAAAAGTAAGCAGATCCTGCTCCACATGTGGCACCCGTCGTATTGCTCATGTTAGTACAAACCCGATGATAAGTCTAATTCGGTAGGTCACATTCGAAAAAAGGGGTTATGGGATTGTAGTTACGACAATTGGAACATATCCGCTGTCATCTGGGAAACGGATATTCCGTAATGGTCAACCAACTTGTGATGGCGTCCGTAAAATTTACGAAGGGACGATTTCAACTTCACTACTTGGAACTCTTGGTTTAATAGCTTCCTTGTGAGCAGCAACCCTCTTTCAAGGAAATCATGATAGGAAATACAAGCCCTGGAATATCGTATCAACTGGGAGATATATACACCGTATGCAGGCGCTGGTGCGGGAATGTTGCTACATAGAAATGGAAAGATGACAATTGGGAAGCTGAAATCATCTCTTTTGTCGTATAGTTTTGTTTTTAGCCGACCATCATTGTCAATTAATAGATGCAAGTCAAGATATGAGGCCAACTTAACTGTGTCTGTTGTATCCTTTATCTCAAGTTCGATGGGATAGATGCGTTCAACATAGTCATCAAATTTTGAATTATTTAGTGAGAGAACATCATCTATATAGAGGAATGCGAAGTTGAAGGATAACAGTCTGTCGGAAAGCACGTTGTAACACGAGGATACCTCATTCTGACTCAGGACCATACAGTCTCCATCTCCGAAACATAATCGCATGCTTACATAGTATTGATTAAGGAAATGTGGTTTATGATTGACAATGGGCAAAAACCATAAATGCAAATAAAGAAAAACTGCACAGCAGCAAACTCAGTATGATTTTTCCTTTGTTCTCTACTGCTTAAAAAGAGATATATGCCAGCACTATCTTGTAAACTGGGGTAAAAAAAATAATGTGATAATTTCTTATAATCGTTAACCTTTGAACCTTTTTCCGAGAACCAAATCACCACTTGGTTTCGGAAACTTTTATATATCAGAAAGATGATAAAATTCGCTGATACACGATATCGTTAAAATTTAGAATGAATTAACTTGAATGTCTTTTTTACTTATTAACTAAAATAGCTTCAATACGTGAATTCAGCATATAAATCATTTTTCATGATACTGATCAGACCTGATTTGTAGAAATTTGTACATGCATGTAAGACAGTGACATGTTGAACTTCGTACTTAATTCAAAGATTCTGTTTTATCCTAAAATCCTGGTATTTGTTTGTTCGTAAAGGCATGTACCTGGTTTGAAGATGCTATAGGGTTCTTAATCATCTTTTGTACAATTTTTCCTCCACTCACTAAACCCTTACGAATTTATTATTAAGTTTGAAAAGAACAGATACAATGTAAAGTCTATATATAAGTATGTCATAGTATGTGTGTGTGTGTATATATAATTTACGGTACAGATCATACAGACCAATATAGTACACATTATCAACATTAAGCAAAATGAGGTAAGATATGTGAAATTTTTCATTTCAATTGTCATTGCTTGTTCTACATAGACTCTTTTATAACATTAGTAATTATATACGCTTTATTGGTTTTTGTACTTCCTTCTGTTGAAGACTATACAGGGACGAAGATTTATTCTTGCGCATTTCACAACAACACTAAACATGGGAGGAAGCGAAATATAAATATTACAAATACGATATCAAAAACGAAGTAAGGAGATTATTCACGCAGACTTAACGAGAAATATTAAAAGAATTAAACTTCGAAATATATGTAGGCGGTAAGGGATAAAACACATTAAACGTAACTTTTATACAACACTATATGTTTGTTAAATTAAATATGGGTCAACTGTGTACATAATATATGGATTACCTGGATATAAACCGGGTTGATAGTAGAAGCCCATTTTTTAATATATTTATTCAATTGCAAGATATCTTATAAAGTTAATAAGATCTCTGATTAAGAATAATATATAAGATATCTTATAAAGTGAATAAGATATCTGATAAATAAAATTGAGAATGGAAATGGGGAATGTGTCAAAGAGACAAAATCCCGACCATAGAGCAGACAACAGCCGAAGGCCACCAATGGGTCTTCAATGCAGCGAGAAACTCCCGCACCCGGAGGCGTCCTTCAGCTGGCCCCTAAACAAATATGTATACTAGTTCAGTGATAATGGACGTCATACTAAACTCCAAATTATACACAAGAAACTAAAATTAAAAATGATACAAGACTAACAAAGGCCAGAGGCTCCTGACTTGGGACAGGCGCAAAAATGCGGTGGGGTTAAACATGTTTTTTGAGATCTCAACCCTCCCTCTTTACCTCTAGTATATATGAGATATCTTATAAAGTATATATGAGATATCTTATAAAGTTTATACGATGTTTTGTATTCTTTATGAGATATCTTATTTACTTTGAAGTTAAAACAATATCTGATATACTTTATCTGATATCTTATTACCTTTATATGATATCTATTAAACTAAATTACATATTTTATATATTTTAAACAAATACTTTATGGAATATATTGTATTGTTTATAAGATATCTTTAAAAGTATATGATATATTATCAACTTTGTTATATATATCTTATTAATTCATAAGATATCTTATATGATTGATTTAGCAAATATCTTAATTGTATTATATATCTCATATAGTGAAAAAGACTTCTTTTAAAATAGACAAGATATCTTTTGAACTAAAGATTTCTTGTTATCTAAATATGATATCTAAAAAAACTGAATAAGATATATTGATATACTGTTTAATAAAATATAGTATCCACTTAAAACCTCAGATGTTTTTAAATTTTGGGTTCAAACTATATTTGGTTCTCCCGTTATTTTCCTTTACAATGAAAACTTTGCCAAATTATTTTAAGTAAACGACATGAAAAAACTTCTTCAACTATGTATTAAGGTTATTACCATATTGATAAGATTGCAACATGGTTTAGGTTTCAACCCTTTTTTCTAGCGTAGTGGTCCATGAAAATGCAAAGTTAAAACAAATAGGTTTTATACACATATATCATGCTTCCAAGGGGTAATTGCCAAAAAAGAAGTAAATAAATTTTCAGAGCCATTGGGCGAGGAAAATTTGATTACTTCGAAACCGGTATTTTTTACAAATACCCCTTGTTAGCATGATATAATTGTTTAATTCCACCGAATATTTTTTGTATCCATATCTAAGAAAAGTCTAGAGGCCTTCGGAAGTCGCGTTATTTTTAGACATGGTATTTCCCATCTGCCGTGGTATTTACTAGCAAATACCACGGCAAAAGGAATTTCTTAATGACAAATTCACCGAAAGTCAAAAGAAAATCTCAATAAATAGAAAATTTGTGAAAAATACCATTTCTCTCGTCCAAATCAAAATACAGCATTATTACATAAGGTGTAGTAGAAATATGGGTGGATTCAGGGGGCAAGATGACCCGTTCCTTTCTACATAGCCGAAAATATGTATTTTTGATACAGTTTGTTCTGATTTGTGAGGCCAAATTGTTCGATTGGCCCCTTTTTTTTATACTCCCGGGAGAAGTTTTAACGATAGCCCTCAAACTATTGTTATATTTATTTTTAAGCAAATAATCTATGTGAGCTAAAGGAAATGTTAAAATCCCTGGATGTTTGTAGCTGCACATTAAACGGTTGATTAGAAATCAAATGTTAAATGAGTCGTGTTTAAGTGACCTCCAGACCTCGTTTCAATCTTTACCAAAGGAATAAATTATTCCAAAGGGCTCATTACTAGTTCTTCAGTTGTGCTACTTTTCTGACCAATGCGATATACGGTATTTGCTTAAGCTTTCTTATGGTTTTTATTTGACATTTTGAATATTAATATTTTTTTACAGCAACGAAGAGGATATAGATGATATTACAAGGCGGCTGGAAAAGTTTAATCCAAATTTCTTTCAACGATCACCATCGTCCGAAACTGTGAAATCAAGTTTTCGTGAACACCAAATTACAAATGCGACAAATCAAGAGTCAGAATCAATAGAACCAAACAAAAACGAAAGCGGGACTTCAGAGGCATGCATACAATGCATAACGCCAATTCCAGCTCTTGTATGGAAAGACATATGTCCAGGGGACCATATTATCTTTGCAGGTAGAATATACGACCATCACGCTATAGTAGTTCACAAGTATCCAATTAATGAAACAGATGAAAATAGAGTCTGTCTTGAATTGGTTCATGCAACAAATACAGCAACTAAGGCATTCATGGCTAGCTTCCATCCATTTGGGAATAAAGCAAAGTTAAGAAAGGTGAAAGAAGACATAGATCTTACAAAAAGTAAAGTCATGATTTATGTATACCAGAATACTATTAAACACTTTAATCCAGATGAGATAATAAAAAGAGCCATTGCTGAAGCAGATGCAGATGCAGAAGGAGGAAAAGGTGAATTTAAGTATGACCTTTTTGTAAATAACTGTGAGCATTTTGCCACCTGGTGCGTTACCGGTCAAACATTAAGTTTACAAGTGAGAAAAGTCGGCATGATTGTGAAAATGTTTTTTAGAAGCGGATTTCGAGGAATAAGCGACGAAAATCAACGAAATGAAAAAGAATTTAAGAGTGGTATGCTCTGTAAAACATGCTATGAAAGAAATAAACAATTACTTTGTGCAGAGAAAACGACAATTCAGGATAAAAATCATGTTCAAATTGGAGAAATTATAATGTATAGCTATTATAATTTGTGGCACTGTGCTGTCGTACTAGAAATAATTGAAACTACAGAAAAGGTGGTTCAGTGTAAAATAGCGCACAATGCTTTTTGTGGTTTTTGGAAGCATCGAACAATACAAGAGGATCCACTGCCAATCCCTTTGGATGGTTCAATGTTTGTGATAACGTATTCCGAGGAGTACAATGTATATGAACCTCAGGAAGTTGTCAAACGAGCGCGTAGTAGAATTGGAGAACAACTTTTTGCATTCTTTTCAAATGATTCAAGTCAATTTGCTCGATGGTGTAAGCTGAAATTACATCGAGACGAGAAAAATGTCACACGGACAACACGTATTAGTTTCAAAACTTAACTTAAAACATTTGATATCCTTATCGTTAAATGCTTCATCAGCGACGAATATTTACATACCTGAAAGAATACTTAGATTTTTTGACACTCACCAAATTTTGTAAGCACACAGGAGCTATATTATTTATAATCTTAAAAGTTTCTAGAGCCACTGTTCTAATCCGTCTAATCTGCAAGGAGGGCACCTTAGCTTTAAGTAAGAGGTCCTCGTAGGGGCTGGTAAAATCCTCATATACAAAACGGCCAACTTTGTATTATTTCCCATTACTGGAATGCACAACATAGATTTCTCTCTTATATCTAATCGGGAGTTAAACTGAGTGATAAAACGTATTGAATTAAAGACTAATTTAATATTATTGTAGTAATAACGAGAACGCCCGTTTTTTGTTTGTTTGTTTGTGAATGACGTCTGCACATACTAAAAGTGGATGTTTGGTGAACGTAGACTGATGGGACTAAGCTATCTTGATGTTTCATATAAGTTATTGAGATACACTCTAACGGTTGCCCATTTTACTGAAATCAAACAAAAACAATAGCGAGACTTCAGAAACATGTATACAATGCTTAACGCCAATTCCAGCTTTTTTATGGAAAGACATTTTTCCAGGGGACCATATTATCTTTGCAGGAAGAATATACGACCATCACGCAATAATAATTCACGAGTATCCAATTAATGAAACAGATGAAAATAAAGTCTGTCTTGAATTGGTTCATGCAACAAATACGGCAACTAAGGCATTCATGGCTAGCTTCCATCCATTTGCGAATAAACCAAAGTTAAGAAAGGTGAATGAAGACATAGATCTTACAAAACGTAAATTCATTCTGAATATAACATTTACAAATGTAGGCCGTTAGGGGTAAAAAAGAAAACTTCAAATTTCAACTTTTATGCAACACTACATGTTTTAAATATATAAATGTGACACAACTGTGTATTACCTGGATATGAAATTAGAATGCCCTATATAGCATGCCGTTTTTTACATCGGATAACCGTGAGGGCATTCCGGTGTATTGCAGTCGCCTAGATTTCCATTACGTAACTTTCGTGTTGGGATTGTAACCGATCTATAAACATGATAAATACGCAGACATTATTGAATGCAAAATAACATTCCTTATCACTTGTTATAAATTCATTTTTTCAATGGATACTCCTAAAAATATTTTTTTAGAACATAAATTAATAATATGAAAATGTTTTGTCGTTAGAAATATGTATATAAGTAAAAAATCTTTAATATCTATGCACACGTACAGAAAATGTGTGTTAACGCATGCGGAAGAATATCTCAAGAACGTTTGCAATCTCCCATGCAGAGTTATCGGTCCTCGCTCTTTTTCAAGGACCAATAACTCTGCATGGGAGATTGAAAGTTTGGCGGGAAAATATGAATGCCTACTCAAATCCAATATATTAGAAAAATCGAATTATTACAGAAGAGTGTCCTCCATGCACTCGCACTGCACTATTATTAATATAGTAGAATAGAATGATATATAAATGGATGAAAATTATATATACATGTAACTGTAATATACAAATATTAATATAATATATAACAACAAACCAGAGTCATGATACTGATTTGTATCACTTCAATATCATATTTATTACGGTGAGGTTGAATTCCCTGTCATTTATTTATCATCCACGCACGAACTTGTCTAAGAAACAAAATTATATCTGTACATTAACCTCACTTTCAGGTATAGAGATGTGATTTTTTTTCTGAGACAAGTGCTTGTGACCATCCACAAGAACTTGCGGTCATCCGATATTCAGTACTTCAGTACTTTGATTATATTTATTCCATTTCAAGATATCTTATAAAGTTAATGATATATCTTATTACTATACTATATATAAAAATATTAATTTTCGCGAACCATTTCGGTCACGGAAATTCCAAAAATTCCCAAGAGTAAGGAGAATTGTACAAATAATGTGAATACACAGAACCCCGATCCAATTCATCTTTTGCTAAAAGTGTTCATCATTTTCTGTTTTGTATCTACTAACAACATTCCAATTTTCTATAATTCCGATTAGAATATGCCAAAACCTGCAGTAAAAATAGATGTATGCCCCAAATAAACATTCCCCGATTGGTTGAATTACTGTGGCCTCGATTTAAGCAACGCAAGCCTCGATGTAAAGCAACGCAAACATTTCCGTTAATATGTTGAACTTCGACCCCTGAATTCAACCGATTCACAAACAGAGATTTTCTTGCGCTCAAATGTAATTCTAAGTGAAGTATACTGGTAAAGTAATATTCTATTCTTTTACAGAAGTAAAGACACATTTTATCATTAATGTATTGTCATGCTTTTGCATATTTACTTTTACGCTGAGATATAGTTAAATTTAATTCTAAACAAATTTTGTTACGTCAAGCAAAAGGAGTAGGAATCTTTCACGCCAAAACAAGAAAATAACCTGCATCATTAAATTATTTTATCATCATCTTTTTATACGACCGCAAAAATTTTTGCGGTCGTATATTGGTATGACGTTGGCGTCGTCGTCGTCGTCGTCGTCTGAAGACACGTTGGTTTTCGCACAATAACTTTAGTTTAAGTAAATGGATCTCTATGAAATTTTACCATAAGGTTCAATACCACAAAAGAAAGGTTGGGATTGATTTTGGGGGTTATGATACCAACAGTTAAGGAATTAGGGGCCAAAAATGGGCCAAAAATAAGCATTTTTGTAACTTCCAGACAATAACTTGTGTTTAAGTGTATGGATCTCTCTGAAATTGTACCACAAGTTTCCATACCACAAAGGGATGGTTAGGATTGGCTTTGGGTAGTTATGGCTCAAACCATTTAGGAATTAGGGGCAAAAAAGGGGAAAAAACAAGGGTTTCCTGGTGAATGGACAATTTAAAAGCAGTGTAAGGGAGGTAATCCAAAAACAAAATTGTACCTCTGAATTGAGATTATGACCATATCTTGAGTGAAAGATTTTTTTTTGGAAAAGGGGGGGGGGGGGGGGGGAAGGGGGGTAAAAAAGAAATTGTGGGGGGGGGGGCAAATTTTTTTTCATTTCAGATTTCAGAAATTAAAAAGAAAATTTCTTCAAATATTTTTTTTTTGCAAAAAAAGGGGGTTAAAAATTTTTTTTTAGGGGGGGGGTCAATACGCAACAGCATAGTGTATTTCACTAAAGCAAAAAAAAGGGGAGTATTATTTTTTTTTTTGGGGGGGGGGGAGGGGTGGGGTCAATTCGCAACACCAAAGTGTATTGCACAAAAGCTAAAAATTGAATATAAATTCAAATCAAATAACCAATTCTAAGTTCTTTAACTACAGTTATTCGGTGTCAGAAACCTATTATGTGTCAAATATTTAATTACAATCCAAATTCAGACCTGTATCAAGCGCGAATATTGTGTCCATTTTCGCCCCAACTGTTCAGGGTTGGACCTCTGCGGTCGTATTCAGCTGCGCTCAGCGAAGCATTTTATTGACATTTCCAATAGAAAATAGCTTTTGGTATAAGCAATAATGGTAAGTATTACTTATTATTGTTAAGGTTTTCTAGACCTCGTTCGCTAGACCTTCTTGACGGTCAATTTAATCCCATTTATCAATTATCCCCGATGACAGAAATGTCAACCCAGTCGATTTGAGTCATGGGTGAATTTTTCTGATCTATTTGATGACATAATTTCTTCATTAACTGTACATGCAATATTTTTGTATTTTTTGTTAACCGTGCACATACCCTTTGCATGTCTGCAAGATAAATGGGTTATGTATGTGTGAATTGTGTAATAACAATAATGGCGAACGATTAAAGTTGGTGAAGTCAGTGCGTGGTCACGTGACATTATTTGTAAACAAACGGGCTCCCGATGTAACACGTGTCAGAATTATCCATACAAGGTGCAATCAATCTTATATTTCACTATTTGATCTTCATCCTTAGCACTGTAAAATTTGTTCCAGAACTAATTTTATGACCAAATGTGAAATAAGTTTCGGAACAAAAAACATAGCTCCATGAATTTTGTTCCAATTAATATTAAGAGTTTTAAAAAGTTAAATAAGTTCCTGTGATATTTGTTTTAAACGAACGTGTACATATTTCATAGAAATCAATGAATAAGTTCCGTTCAAACCTATTTTCACAGAAAATAAGTACCTTTGCAACAAATTGCAAGCGAAATATTTTCTTGTTACATTTAAATTATAATGCAAGCTATGTGTTCTTGCATGGAATACATTTGCAATTGAAGGCATGACTGTAACTAAAGGATGAAGATAAGAAATAAAAGCGATGGTAATGTATCATAATTTGTATTTATCTTTTATGTGGTATCCTCTTTGGTTTTTGTTAACTGTCATGGCCGCGTGTTCTAGTCATATATGTACTTAGGTCATAGCACAGTTTCAAAAGAGTGTCTTTTGTTTCTACATGTCTTTTGATATAACTGATCAGTCACTTTGTCCTTTTCAAATAAGTACATATGTTCATCTTTAACTGTACTTTTTTTCTGAATGATTGATTTTTCTTATTCTACTCTTTTCTGGCTGAAAAGTGTCATTTTGATATTATATACGGAGTATATAATTAAACATTTGCTATACTCCACAGGATCCGAATTGGATGATTTACACTTTTTACTTTTTTTATTATTTATATACCACGGAAGCCGATAAGGGCCATTCAAAAAAAAAATTTTATGTCGTAATTACGACATAACATGTCGTAATAACGACATCACTATGTCGTAATTTCGACATAACATGTCGTTATTACGACATCGCTATGTCGTAATTTCGACATAACATGTCGTAATTTCGACATAACATGTCGTTATTACGACATCGCTATGTCGTAATTTCGACATAACATGTCGTTATAACGACATCGCTATGTCGTAATTTCGACATAACAAGTCGTAATTACGACAACACTATGTCGTAATTACGACATAGCTATGTCGTAATAACGACATCGCTATATATATAAAAGAATATGTATTATGATTGCCAAGAGACTAAATGACACAGAAATTAACAACTATAGGTCATCATAATGCCCTCAATAATGAGAAAAGCCCCCGCATAGTCAGCTATAAAAGAGGGACGAAAGATACCAGAGGGAGAGTCCCCGAAATGACAGCTGTTTAACAATTTAATTCAAACGAGTGAAAATAACGGTTTTAATAATGTACAAATAAAGACCGAAACACGAATATGTAACACAGCAACAAATGACAACCACTAAATTACAGACTCCTGACCGCTATGTGATAATAACGACAACCTTATAGTTTAACTTTTCACTTTTTGAAGCGATAGGAATTTCAAAATGGTCGCCAGTAAAGGCAAAGTTTGTATCGTAAACAAATTCATCTTTTTTTTTTGAGAATATTGAACACTTTATGCAATCAAGCTTAATTAAAGTTATTCACTAGCACCTCAGACTTGCAAATACTAGAACTTTATTTATAATCAAGTCAAATGAGACCCAGTTGAATAGGGGAGCAATTCAAGCTCCCTGGAGCCTCTAACTATGTTTGGCATTGCAGGTTCTGAATAAGATGAATTTTAAGCTTTTCCCAATAAAGACTATGTTAAACTTTGGACTCATAGTGCTCAGACCCACGGATCTCTGTACCTTCATTTGTACACACTTGAATCTTAATGTACTACTGAGGCTTGATGCAAATTATAACTGCATTGCTATTGTTGGTTCTTAATGAGATTCTTCAAGCGTCCTCCCCATTGAAGCCCTATTAAAACTTTGTACCCCAAGTTCTTTTAACCACTGTTCCCCAGGACAACTATTCCTACAAACTTAGAGGGAGGGTTGGGATCCCGCTAACATGTTTAGCCCCGCCACATTCTTAATGTATGTGTCTGTCCCAAGTCTTTAATTTACATATTTGTTTTTCGTTTATTTTTGTACATAAAATAGGCCGCTAGTTTTTCTCGTTTGAATTGTATTACATTTGTCATTTCGGGGCCTTTTATAGCTGACTATGCGGTATGGGCTGTGATCATTGTTGAAGGCCGTACGGTTACCTATAATTGTTAATTTCTGTGTCATTTTGTTTCTTGTTGAGAGTTGCGTTTTTGAACAAACCAGCGTATCCCAAAGCCTTGATAACCTCTGTAGGCCCCAAATAAGACGAAAAAACATCAAAATTGGAGAGAAAACTGAAAATAAATGGTTTCTA